TTTGGTTCCGACCCGTATCATAGGTTGTGTGGATTTCGCTGACCGACCATCGCCATGAACGTAGGGATAGCGCAAGGAACAGAAGTCTTGGGGATGCAACTGGCCAAGGCTTGAATGTGTAAGTACTCGAATTTGGGGGGGTCAACGACGGTCAAGATGTGTCAATGGACGGGCGGCGACGAATCACCTCTTATAGCTGGGGCCGGTATCAATGTATGGCCACCGCATTACGTTATGACAAGCGAGATGACCAAGGTCAACAGCGAAATCCCATCGGCATATTGTGTGAATAACAGATCACGCGATACTGTGCATTCCGGGACACCATTTATATGCTCTTTAGTCTGCACTGACCGGCCTATCCTCAAAGGCAGGACCAGGCTGAACTAAGACTCGAATAATGCGCACTTGTGCGACACTACCTTAATGATTTATGTCAGATAGGTCGTAGAATGGGGCGGGAGGAAACAGCCAATGCCCCCACCACTGCCATTTGTTGTGAATGTCCTTGATGAGGCAGGCAATGCAACGGCAATACTCCACGGAGTATTCCGCTATTGAGGATATCGATTGGTCAATTCGTCAGATGAGGCAGGGATGGCGGGACAAGAATCAGTCATATCACGACATTTTTGAGGAACATGAGTCTGACATGGAAGACGTGCCAAAAATCCTTCCTAGTTTCAACGTTGCTGGTTCGTGGACAAGACAACAACTATAGTGAATGAACCATCACCATTCGACTACCGTTATATGCTAGAACAGGCGGCTACCATGAACAACAATCCAAGAGCCCACACCTGCCTTACCTAAGATTTTAATCTACTACTTATTGATTCACGGAAACCAATACGAACGCCGAAAATCTATTTCTGCCCGCTAGACACCCTGGCCCTATGTAGATCGGTTTAAGTGCTCTGTTAAACCCTATTTGACCCTCAAGAGGAGAGGGTTAAACATGGATTTGTGAAACTGTTAACAAAATTGGCCACTTGAGACACTACGCCATTTTTTTCGCAGTCAAGGGCGTTGGCACACATCTGTTTTCCTTTTCTCTTTGCTATTAGAGCCTCCGCCTCCCGGCCTTTTGGCCGGGCGCGCGCCCCCCAACTCCTCCAACGTACGACGCCCCTACACTTCCACAACCACACACCGACAACAGCAGTGGCACCAGTGGCAATGCGAAGACGCTCGTTCTTTACGTCTCAAGAAGAAGTCAGGGGCCAGGGCAAAGGTGAATGTTGTCAAAGTAAATGTGTTGTACCCGCCCTCAGCGCAACTGGCTGACCAAATTTCAGGACCCACACACACTTCAAACCCACTTTTTCCAGCCCACATGTACGCTCGCGGCTCGCGTAATATCCACGCTACACCAATGCTAACATGTTAATATAGCGAAGTCATTAAAGTTACACAGCTGTATCTTTATTACTGTACTGCCAGTAGGTATAGCAAAGCTTATCATAGATTTTAGATCTGTATTAGTAATATCCTAGATATATGTTCTGAGCGCGAACGCGGTGGCAGGAGGGCGCACTTGATTCGGTTGTCAATGAGTTTATCAGAAGAATACCTGGCTACAGTACACGTCAGTTGAGCGCTGTCGCTCTGCGGCACTTGTTATGCTTACATATGCGTCCATTTTGCTATTTTAATTTATGTGTGCATCTCTTAGTGAATCTCTGTTTACGTTTCAGGCATTCCAGATGAGCCTGGCAGTGTACGTGCACTCTGTTGGAAGCTTATTCTTAACTATCTGCCTCTCTCTCCTAGTAAATTTCTATCATTCTTGGAGAAGCAAAGGTTAGTATCTCCAGAAACATATGCGTCAATTATGAATTGCCACCTGTGCAATCTCCATCTCATTTCTATGTCTACTAGCAATCTTTATTCTAGCGTTTCACAGTTTTTATCTAGTTTTTTTTTGCTAACTGAACTTGCCTACTATACCTTGAGTGGCTGCACCCAGTATGAACAGTGTAAAGTCTATCATGCTTAACAATGGCGAATGTTTTTTTATGTTGCTGACATGGTTTGCAACTTAAGCAATTAAAAGAGCTAACCTACCAACTAAACATATAATGTGCAGCTCAAACTGTACTCAGTCTCGCCCAACCTAAACCATGACGTCTGTTGTACATGCTTACATAAATTACATTGTGTCTAGACGAGTAAATTTATTTATAGTTTTCGCATTGCTGTTTATAAATACAGAGTTTGTGCTTTGTACCTTTCCATTATTTAAATGGTTAAAAGTACATAATTTATTTATGTATGTAGAAAGCTATATAGCAGTTTCATCCAGGAGATGATTGTCAATCCAGGCAAGCAGCACTTTGGCAAGTCTGGCAAGATAGATGTCACATTTGAAGATCATGTGAGCCATACTAAATTTAAATTATTTTATGATATTTACGTTCTCGAATCTATTTGCTATTTTTTTAAGTCAGGTATTCTGCTGACTTGGTAGGAATCATTTAACAACTATTATTTAATCACAACAACTATTTAGTATTATTGTATCCCCCGTGACGAAGTCGGCGGGATACTATGGTTTCATGTTTCCCCAGCCGCCGCCGCCGCTCGGTCCGCCGCAGAGAATTTCCCTTCCGCTCTATAACTCGCCCCCTAATTAACCTAGCATGACCAAACTTGGTATACTTACACATCTTGGGGAGAAGGTGTGCAGAGTACCAAAACCAGGTCACTGCAACCTTTATTTGACCTTTACCTTGACCTTAATCTTATTTCCCTTTCGCTCTCTAACTCGGCCCCTAATTGACCTAGCGCGACCAAACTTGGTATACTTACACATCTTGGGGAGAAGGTATGTCGCATACCGAAACCAGGTCACTGCAATCTTTATTTGACCTTGACCTTGACCTTCATCATATTTCCCTTCCGCTCTATAACTCGGCCCTTAATTGAGCTAGCTCGACCAAACTTCGTATACTTACACACCTTGGGGAGAACACGGGGGATACATGTAGTTGGCGACAACTGCCCTTTCTAGTTTTAATTTGAAGTCTTGAAGTGGAAAGAATTCTTCTGTTGAAAACACAGGCAATATTGAAGAAAACGTAATAATCGGATTCAAATTTTTCAGCCACTGAATCCAAATCCAGATAGCCAGTGGGTGGCATACTTCAAGGATAACGATGTGCTGGTTCAGATCGACAAAGACGTTAGGTATGACCAGAAGCAATGAGTCATTAACCCGCGATACAATCTCTGTATTCTACAACGTACATGCTTGAAAAAATTCAATGAATCTACGATGGCCAATGATGAATCTCTATCAGTTCAATTGATTTGCAAGGAATCATCGCGCTTCCTTGTCGGCTTTGTTCTGCACAAAGTGGGTTATGTTACAGGCGTCTGTGTCCTGACATTGGCTTCTTCCAACGTGCAACAGAGTTTCCTTGTCAGGACGTCGTTAATGCTGCCGAAATGGAGACTCTGCGAAAACGCGTGGATTGCTCTGTTTTGCAGTCACACACCGTTATGAAAAACAGACAGGGAGCATATAACGTGAGTTGCATAGCTGTCATTTGCCGAAGCTAAGATAAGCAGACAAGTTTGAGAACTAATTAGATTGCCGATAGGTCATTATCGTTGCCTATAGTCAACGTGACTATCCCTAGACAAGCAAGCCATTTCACAGTTGCCATTAAGAGCCGTTTCGTAAAAACAAATCTGGTTTGTACGAAGATGTTAGAAGAGGTGTCATAATTTTTGCTGTTCGTAATCCATATTTACTGACGTACCGAAAAAAAAAAACCAAATTAAAAATTCGCGATGGACCCACTTGTGCCGTCGTGGCGTCTTGCAGTGGAAATCGTCGAAGAAATCTACGGTGGAGTACGACCTGCTGCCGGACGGAAAGGAGGCGCACTGGGAGGTCGTCGAACGCATACTCTTCATCTATGCCAAGCTCAACCCAGGTCTCGCGTACGTGCAGGGCATGAACGAGATCATCGGCCCCATCTACTACATATTCGCTTCCGACAGCGAACGAGAATGGAGCGGTGCGTAGCAGGAGCTTTCGCGGCAAATTTTTTACACTGTGTAGAAAGAGGGAGAACGAGGGTGTTCGACTGAGTAAACAGTGGCACATATTAATTATATAACTTGCAAGTGTTAGGTAGATTAAAAGTGATAAGAACACCTATTAAACATCATCAAGATGTGCAATTATAATTCTGCAACATTTCAGAACATGCCGAATGTGATGCTTTCTTCTGCTTCACAAATCTCATGTCGGAGATTAGAGACAACTTCATCAAAAGTCTGGATGACTCTGCTCACGGAATAGGTAAGCTAATTTGAGTGTCACACCATTGATATAATTAGCATAAAACTGTGAACAAACACGTTTTAATCATAACATATCTGTGCATTATTCATCCGTCTGTATCACATTATATCGTTACTAGTGGTCTTCCAAAATGTAAAGTTGTGAAACCAGACGATTTGATATCTTGAGATACTGTGAGATAAACTCTATTAGCAGCGTGGCTTGTGGCTTGAGTGAATGTGCAGACGCTCGGGCATGTGATGACTTGATTACAGGCAATATGATGATGCAGCTCATGAACAGGCTGCAGCTTCATGACCCGGACGTGGGCTCTCTCATGGTCACGCAAGACCTCAAGCCCCAGTACTTCAGCTTCCGATGGCTCACTCTGCTGCTTTCGCAGGAATTTCCTATGCCTGGTGGGTAGAACTTGAAGTAATGTTGCCAGCCCCTACCTATGTTGCTACCTATCCCCAGTAGTTAATGGTACAGTAAAACTCGCATAAGTTGTCATCGTCTAACTCGTCAATTCGCATAAGTCGTCACGGAAGTCAAAAGTCCCAATTTTCTCTCAAAGTAAATCGATTGGAATAGCCCCGCCTAAGTCGTTATTTATAAGCCGTCATTATGTACAAGTCGTCGCCCTCAGACAGGTCCCATGTAATACACACAACAGTAATTTCCCATCTGTAAGTCGTCATCAGATATGCCGATGGTGCAGTGTACATCTAGGGGATGTACGAGATATGCCGTCACAGATATGCGCCAACGTGTAATCCACAGCGGGTGTTACTGTTACAGATAGCCAGCGTGTGCAGCGCTTGCCGCTAGTGCGTACGATGTACGTGTGTTATGGCCAGCAGCGGTGTCGATTGATGTACGGACCGATTGTTTCATGTCTGCTATGTATGTGGCGCGAACTGACGTGTGTGGAACATGTTTATGACTGCGTAGGGGTGACGGGCACCTGGGAGGGGAGCCCTACATATAAGTCGACAAAATGACGACTTACGTGTATGTCGTCATTTTCGTAAGTCGGCACAAATATGCTGGTCCCAAAAGTGTCGACTTATGTGAGTTTTACTGTAGTACCGTTAATATATATACATATATATATATATATATTATATACATATGCAGCATATTTTTAGCTCATCTGACATAGTCAGATGCAGCTTGTAGAATCGCATGAGCGTGCGTGCGTCCGTCCGTGCGTGCGTGCGTCCGTCCATGCATCCCTCAACAGTTGGGCACAAATCTAAACGGCACGACGTACGGTCACGATATTTGGGACGTGTGGGGGGGGGGAATCCGAAAACGAGTTGGGATGTCGAAGCTGGGGGTCAAAGGTCAAAGGTCAAGAGGTGTAAAAGAAGGGGGAACATTCCCTCCTTAACTTAAGGTATAGGGAGCAAGTGCAGAATTGTGGCACAAATCTAAACGGCTCGACCTAGGCTCGTGATAGTCGGTGTATAGCATCATGGTAGTAAAAGCCATCACTGTGCTGAGAAATTGGAGGTCACAGGTCAAAGGGCAGTGGGGGAAAGGTCAGATATCAGACATTTTCTGAGGGCGTGGCCTAACGGAGAGAGTGAAAAACTTTTTTGTTTCAGCACTGACCTACTATTTTTATAACTTTATTGAAAGGACCGTGAAATGTGCTGTCCACTGACGTGCGAAGAGTAAGTGTCTGATAACCTTTTGACCCTCAAGAGGAAGGTTAAACATGGATTCCTGAACTGCCTCAATGATGTCACAGTGTTCTCATATTCATGGCACATCCATAATCTGGAAAGCCCAACGGCTGAAGCACAGGATTACGGCTCAAAGGTCCTTGGATCGAATCCCATCAGATTTTTTATTATTTACCTGTTTTCTGTATTTTTCTATCTTTATCCATTTAACTATTTCTTTCCAATTAAGGTAAATATTTATATGATTTATTTACAACAATTTCATAACAACAAATAATTTTTACAACAATTATTATTATTTTTTTAATAGGGTTAGGGTTAGGGTTAGGGTCACAATGCACCATAAAACAGGAGTTTCAGGCATGCGATTTGTATCAACCAATGGTATTTCGGAGGTATGCAGAATGCAGAAGGTTGCTGAAATGATGTGTACGCAACTGCGCGTATCTGCATATCTGCGCCTAACAAAGGTGTCACTATGCACGACATAAATGTTACGTTTATAACCGTAGCAACAGACCTCAGATGAGCCCAGATGCTCTGCGGCTCTTGTTAGATATCTTCGTGATAATTGTGCCTGCGTTCATAATACCTAATACATTAATAATTCATGACAGATATTTGTACAAGTGACCTGAGGTTAGCTATATGGGGTTATTATGTCTATCTTTAGCTATCTCAAATAAGTCTTCCTGTATAAGAATTCTCAGTATTTTATAAGGTGTTATCATACAACTGAAATAAAAAATGCACTGTGCAAATTAATGTTTGTTTACTGTGCCACATGATGACCGCCAAGTAATGATTGGTTGCTCCAACTGTTGTGCGCAGATGTGATCAGAGTTTGGGATTCACTCTTCGCCGATAGCAAGCGATTTGACTTCCTCATTGACGTGTGCCTTGCTATGCTCTTGTGAGTGTCTACAGCTTATATTAATTATGAATTCAACATTTTTTTTATTTATTATTAAATATTAAAAATATGTTATGTTATGTTTTTACGTTGATTACGTTGGTATCTATTCTGCGGTTGTTATTACTCGCCTTGGCAAGGAGTGAGTCCTTTGTTTTACATTTGCAGGTTGATACGAGATGACTTGTTGAAAAATGACTTCTCCAGCAATATGAAGTTGTTACAGGTAAATATCTTTTTAGATATTCAACATTTTATATATCTGTTGAAGCTAAAGTTAAAGAATGTGAACTAAACACTTGTCGGTTGCACATGGTATTATATACTCTATAATGATTTTTGATAAGAAAATAGCGTTTTCACTAAATGCATGTCACATATATCGGTTGCACACATTATGGAATTTTCCGTTTCAGCGTTATCCAGTTTTTGATATCCACCTAGTCCTCAGTGAGGCGGTTCGCTTGCAAAAGAGCTGACCAGATTCAAGGTTGGCCCATTAATGAGCAAATCTATTGTCACTGATGTAGACTCATGTGAATTCAAACAGGAATTTGCGAATATTTAGAAATATAATGTTAAAGTAAGTGCACTTCCAAGCAAGCAAAGCTGAATAGCACTGAGATTGTATACATTAAATCACAGCCAGTGACAGAGAATGCTCCAGATGTTCCAGATGATACTTAACATTAGGAGTGCATAAAATATAGACTATATATTATGACTATATATTATCATATATATATATATATATATATATATTATAGTCTATATTATGCACTCCTGATAACATATTTTTTACATCCATAAGCGGGTATGAGCAATATTGAGATAGCATTTAACAAACTCACTTGAAATAGTGTTAGTTACCATCTCTACTAACTGTGTAACAAGGTAACTTTCCCAAATGCGGCATGCACTAGTATATTTTTAACATATAATGGGTTTGTTAACTAGACTTGCCACCTACATGTGTATAATGGAAAATACGATATTTTGATATATAGTTATCAATATTTTTATGTACCTATGTGATATCTTATACTGTAGATGTCTGTTAGTGTGCATAACTCACACACTACCAACACTTTTTTGGTTTTGGATGCAACTGTGTCATGTATTCAAAATAAGTTTGCCCAGTATTCAAAAGATTTGGGTGCATGATGTATAATTCAAAGTGTAAATATATCCTCATGTAATTACAGAAACCAAATGTTCATTTATGTGCTTACGCAATATCTACTCAATTCAACTGAATAAACACTTCAATGTCATTCCGCTACAGCAATTCACAAAAATTTATATAACCTGTTGACAGTTTCAGTAGCAGCATCACAGGTCACATGGTAAGGTGTTGCCATCTACAGGTCAACTGCCACCTACTTTTTCTTAAGGACCCTTCACACTAGAGCTACGCTCATCACGATCGCCCCACGCTCAAATAATTTGCCCGAGCGTGGTGAGCGTGGTTGAGAGCGTGGCCAATTGGGCCCCAGCCGGGCCCAGCGCCGATACTACGATCTAATTACGTCGATACTACGATCTAAGTGCGTCTTTACGCCGATCTAATTGCGCTCAACAAGCTTTCACCACGCCCGCATCACGCTTGCATTGCACTCACTGCGTCTTTATTGCGACCAATCAAATCGCATTGCGTTCGAACGACGCTTGCACTGCGCCTAAGCAACGCTCACAGCGCCTCAACTGTGCGCCAATCACGCTCTAGTCGGGCACAAACTGCGCTGGCAACGACCATATAAATACCGCGCCGCGTTCTAGACATCATCATTCATTCTGCCGTGCTGTCAAGATTACATCAAGATTATTTTCTACTGACACAACCATGCCGCCAAAAGACAAGGGGAGAGGCCGTGGAAGGGGGAAAGGCCGAGCAAAGAATCCAAAGAGGTGCAGGAGTCCGTCATCTCCATCAAGTGTTGCCCTGAAATCCTGGTTGCCTTGTCCTTCTACGAGAAACATGGCATGGAGTAGTGTTGCCTCATCCATAGTGGACACTGAACTGGTGGGGTGGCCAGGGTAGCACCCCAATTTATACCCCAAGTTCGCAGGATGTGATCTGAGCGTAACCAACACGTAATGCGAACGCCACAACGGTGTGGTCTGAGCGTGTTGGGCGTAGTACAATCGTAGTACGAACGGGTCGAGCTTGCTAGAGACGCATCATGGTCATAGCGAAAGCGTGGTCAGGTCGCAGAGACATCTTCGTGGACGCAGTAACAGCGTGATGAAAACGTATTGATATCATGCTAAGAACGGGGCGACAATTTTCACGCACCCGACACGCTTGCGATACGATCATTAGATTATCATTAACCGAAAATTTCTTAGCCACCACAAAGTTTGTGGACCAAAAAATTTCTCAGCCACCACAAACAGTTTGTGGACCAAACAATTTCTTAGCCACCACAAACAGTTTGTGGACCAAAAATTTTCTCAGACACCACAAACAGTTTGTGGTTAAAAAATTTTTGCAAGAGCTGCGCACCATACATTGAGATGATCTGATTTCAGCATACTGATGAGGGAATTTTTTTGCTGAACTTCTTGGACCGAGACCCCCTATCCCATAGTGCATTGTGCTTATAGACTTGCCTATATATATATATCAGGAGTAGATAATAGGGAGGAGTGTGACATCAATAAACAAGGGAAATTCGTCATTTACTAGCCTTATAATAAATACCTACGATTTACTACGCGTAAACTCATCCAACTTGAGCTCAAATCGACACAGTACATTCGCCAATCATCGTACGAAATCGTTTTCCTCGTAGACACCCGCAATTCCGGAGATACAGCCTAAAACGTAACGACACGATTCTCCATTCTTTGGACATCAATTCCAACGCCATTGCACGCCTATCAATTCCAAACAAAAAGGCAGCTACCTAACGCGCTATTGCCTAACTTGAGGAGGCATGTGGGCTCGCTGGTGAGATTAGCGCATCAACACTCGGCGAAGCATAACCGGTGTTTGACCCGCGTACACAGCTACACAGGCACCTTTGATACATAGCTGGCATTGCCTTCACGCACGCCCACGCCAACGCATGATTAGCTCGCAAGTGTTGCGTCGATCTCCAATCTCCCCCGCGAGCCACAACGCACAATTCAGCGTATCCGAGAGAGCAAACACAGCGGACTGTGCGCAGTGTTGCTGCCTTTTGTTCTGAATTATAGGCGCGCAATGGCGTTGGATTGATGTCCAAAGGAATGGAGAATCGTGTCCGTACGTTTTTAGGCCTTGATATCTGCGGATTGCGGGTGTCTACGAGAACGATTTCGTACGACTGACTTGGCGAATGTAACTGTGTCCGATTTTAGCTCAGTTGGTATGAGTACGTGTAGTAAATCGTAAGCGTATTATAGGCTAGTAAATGACGAATTTTCCTTAGTTTATTGATGTCACACTCCGTCCCTTATTCATCTACCCTGATATATATATATCATAATATATATATATATATATATATACGTTTTCCATTTGTTTCGATTGTTCCATTTCGTTTGTCGTGTTGTGCTAGCCACACGCGGTGTGTAATTCAGGAGGTAGATATAGGCAGGCCCGTAGCCAGGGGGGGTTCGGGGGGTTCGAACGAACCCCCCACCCCCGGCCCAAGCCAAAAATATTTTTTTTTAATTGCAAGAATTTCACTCAGGTCGCTCATTTTAGGTGTAATAATTGCAAAATCTCCAATCGTGCGGGGAGCGTGAACAGTGAACACCCTTCCCCGCACCCTCCCTCCGCTCGGTTCGGCTTGGCTCCCTCGCCTGGTCGCTTCGCGCCCGGCGGGGCGTGCTCACAGGCGGGGGTCCAGGCAGTCCGGACCCACCTTGCTCGCCGAGAAAACGCATCTGAGGCGGGTCGTAATTTTAAAAAATTTCTGGGGCGAGGGCCCCCCCAGACCCCCCCTTCGGCGTTCCTCGCAATTCGGGTTACGGTTTAGACCCCCTGGTACAAATCCCTGCTACACGCCCCTGCGAGCAATGCCAACATTGGAAAACAACCCCCCCCCCCAATTACAAAGCTGGCTACGGGCCTGAACTTCGGGACCTTATGAATTCACCTATTGTGGTGTGTATGTATCCCGGCGCGCACGGTGTGCGGCTTGTATGCGGTGCGCGCATGCGTGTACACTGCTGCGAATATGATTCTCTCGTCTCCCTCTCTCTCTGCTCTCTCTATATATATATATATATACGGTGTGACGTGTGTGTGTGGTCTTGAGTGCCCGCGCGGTGGCGTAATGTGTGTTGTGTGTGTCGTGTGTGCGTGCGTGCGTGCGCGCATGTGTGTATGTAAAACCCAAACGATTTGTATTATAATTACACTTGGCATTTCAATGTTGACTTAGTTAATGTAAACACTCTTCTCTTTGATTGTCGTGTACAAATGCTCCCGTATCTTAAATTTTATTGCGGACTCCGATACGCTTCACTTTTTTTTACGGTTTACTATTTGCGGAGTGGGCTGACTCGGAGGACTGTATAGGTCAAATTCGCCCTCCCTCGCTGTACTTATTTAAAAATCTTGTGATATATGTAAAAATGTTAATATACTTGGAAAGCGCTAAATTAAAATTCTAAAAAAATCTAAAATCTATTTCTGTTTTGTTTCCTCGCTAGAGTGGCAGCACGAGTCTTAGTCTTCCACGCAACGCTACTGGCGTTTAACATGCAGCAGTTTATCTTTAATTTTAAGTGTTGTTGTTTGATCAGCTTCATTTTTATGGCACAACAATTCGCGTTTATCTTCAGACTTTATGTCGCTTCACGCTCTAAATTGATCACATGTGTAGTTAATTGGCAAAATAGTATTTTGTACTTTACGTACGCGTACTTGTCGCTTATTTTTAGTCTACGC